TCGAGTCAAAGTTTTGACTCGGACCGAGTCAATACTCGGAAAAAGTCTCTTTTCACAAGGATTAGGGTTCCTATCTTATAAGAAGGGTATTGGACGCCGTCCTCAACCTAAGACAGACGAAAAGAACCCTAAAACAGAGCAAAAACTCAGAAGAAATCGTTTCTTTCATAGTTCTAGCTCCCGGGATTAGATCCCACTTCATATACTTCACAGATCCTAGCAGATCAGTTCCAAAAGCGTTTGGAATCCTTCCCGTCGGTGTGGATACGTGTAGAGGAGCTGTACTTTCAGCTCTTGGTGATTAAAACAGGCCCTGGATCGATTGCTACTTTCAGATCTTCAGGAAAGAGGTAAGTATTCGATTCCTACGGTGATATACACGATCTGTCGGGGTTTTACGGATGATTTTGGTTGTGTGTGACGTTTGACTAGGTTTAGATTATCCTTCCGCTGCATGAAACCTAGTAAACCAAACCCTAGATCGATATGATCGCATGCTAGGAATCCGTAGCCTAAATCCCAACAGTGGTATCAGAGCCTGGTTCTCTGTATATCGCCGTGCTTGTCGCATGCCTATATGAATTTTAATGGTTAAAATTGCATGATAGGTTTGATCTATGCATATTTAATGATGTTATGATTGTTATTTGATGCATGGATGAGTTTGGGGGTCGAAGACGGCTTGATGGTGCATCGAAACAGGGTGAAACCCTAGATCTCGTGGCCAAAAAGTGTCTACCAGAGTTTTGACTCGGCCAGAGTCAAGTGTTGACTCGACCGAGTCAGAACGAGAGATCTCCCAGAGTTTTGACCTAGATAGAGTCAGAGTTTTGACTCGGACAGAGTCAGAGTTTTGACTCGACAGAGTCAGAACGAGAGAAACTCAGAGTTTTGACTCGGACAGAGTCAGAGTTTTGACTCGACAGAGTCAGAACGAGAGAAACTCAGAGTTTTGACTCGGACAGAGTCAGAGTTTTGACTCGACCGAGTCGACTCGACAGAGTCAGAACGACAGATCAGAGTTTTGACTCGGACAGAGTCAAGTGTTGACTCGACCGAGTCAGAACGAACCAAAATGAACATACTTGGCCTTACAGACTTCTGACTCGGACCGAGCCAGTTTTGACTCGGACAGAGTCAGTACAGAAAGTTGTCCGGTTGTCAAGTTTTGGTTCAGATTGATCTGTAGATGATTTCCTATCATGCAATTTTAACCATTAAAATTCATATAGGCATGCGACAAGCACGGCGATATACAGAGAACCAGGCTCTGATACCACTGTTGGGTTTTAGGCTACGGATTCCTAGCATGCGATCATATCGATCTAGGGTTTGGTTTACTAGGTTTCATGCAGCGGAAGGAAGAAAGTTGTCCGGTTGTCAAGTTTTGGTTCAGATTGATCTGTAGATGATTTCGGCTTCTGACTTGGACCGAGTCAAGTATTGACTCGGACCGAGTCAGTTCGTCAGAGAGCTGACCAGAACTGGTCAGCCGGACCAGACTGTGTTAAATGGAGCGACGCGCGTTTTTTTCGGAGTTTGGCTGGTCCGGCGGACCAAAACCTTGGTCCGGCGGACCAGAAAGTCAGGCGGACTTAATCCTTCGGTCCGGAGCTCGTTTGGTCCGGCGGACCA